TTTATCAATGATATATCGGTCTATTCCAAGACCAATGAGCAGCATGAGGAACATCTACGTGAGCTTCTTGGAGTTCTTAGGGCGGAGAGGTTGTACGCCAAGTTCTCTAAGTGTGAGTTCTGGTTGCACAAGGTCCACTTTTTGGAGCACTCATCAATCAGGACGGTATATTGGTCGACCCGACCAAGATCAAGGTGGTTATATGGTGGGAAGTTCCAAAGTCTCCATCTGAGATTCAGAGTTTCCTTGGGTCGACAAGTTATTATCGGAGATTCATCAAGGATTTCTCCAAGATTGTAGTTCCTCTCACTAGGCTGACGAGGGATGATGTCACCTTCAGTTGGGGGCCTGAGCAGTAGGCAACATTTGAGACTCTCCGACAAAAGCTTTGTATTAGAAAACCCTTTTCTTATGTTAGAAACCCTTTTATGAAACATTTCCTTTTTTTGAAAAATATTACCAAATCCTTTTTTTTGAAAAATCTTAGCCCTAATCTAGCATGCAACTCTCATAATCATATCATATATCATAACAAACATGTATGGTATAGTGGGGAAACTTACTTGAGCTCGACTGATTGCACGCATCACACTCCTTATTCTTTCTCAAAAACCCTTAATTTAAAATTTTAGAAAAAATATTTTTCTTGTAAAAACCTTTTAAACCCTCGATTTGAGTCCAGACACCCCGAAAGTGTGTCCGAATCCCTCAAACCAAGGCTCTGATACCAACTTGTAACATCCCAAAATTTAATACCAAAAATTTCATTTTTAATTAAGTAGTTATAAAACCAATAATCTGAAAACACCCATAGTGACATCCCATATCAAACCAATATGTCAATAATCAAAACATGTCATAATAAAACAATGTCAAAGTACAACTCCCAAAAATCTCATAATGCGGAAAACCATAGTGTGATGCGCTGCGATCATGCCGACTCCTTTTCTTTCGAATAAGAAGTACCTGAAACCAAAACTGAAAACCGTAAGCACAAATCTTAGTGAGTTCCCCCATCATACCACATACCATACAACAAATACATTTCCAAGCATATCTGGGTGCCGGCCTCCCCTTCGGTTTATTTCAACCGGATACTCTCGAGCATATCTGGGTGCTAGCCTCCCCTTCGGTCTATTCCAACCGGATACTGCCGAGCATATCTGGGTGCTGGCCTCCCTTTCGGTCTATTCCAACCGGATACTGCCGAGCATATCTGGGTGCTGGCCTCCCATTCGATATATTCCAACCGAATACTGGGTCTATTTTACCCCTACCACTACCACATAATATCGTAGCAAATAAGCACATAAAACATAACAGATAGTGGCATACCAGTCAATTATCACAAAGACAATCATCTCTACTACAAACAACTACTAGTGGGCCGACATTGGTGCCTTCAACCCACTCATACGGGAAGGTAACTCACCTCAACCGTGTATGCCGAAATCGTACTCCTCGGATGGCTCAGGACTCCTCTCCCTAAAGCATAACAAGTCCCCTGGTTAGTTATTGGGTCCTAGTATAACTCCCTTTACGCCCAGCGTATGCTCCGCCCTAAAAATCCCAAAATTTTAATTATTATAACTTGAATAAAAGCAATACAATACCTGATAAATCCCGGATGTCACGGACTCGCTAAACATGGTGAGCAAGGCTCGCCTCAAGCTGCTGAATCACTGGAATAAATCTCTGGCTGCTGGTCCGATAAATCCATGCGCTATCAATACCAACTATATCTAATTTATTAACTGGATCTCAACCCATAATCATAGTTCTAATCTATTGGCCCAGACCAAGGTCTAATCAATTTACTAAGAGAGTCCAAACTCTAGTTGACAATCAAAGGCCCAATTATGTCCCAATCTTCCAAATTAGGCCCAAGACTCACCATGGGCCTAAAATCGAATGAAGCCCAACAAGCTAGTCTAAGTCCAACACAGAAGTCTGGTGGCCCAATAAGGCCCAAGCAATGGAAGCCTAAACAATTTCCCAATACCGAGAACATCCAATCCAAGCCCATCTATGAGTACGCAGGGCGTACTCAGCTCGTATGTTAAACGTACTCCTCCTGGGGCTAGTACGCGCAACGTACCAGCTAGGTACGCCCAGCGTACTCCCCAGTGTGCCACCCCCACTCCATTAAGCACTTAAACATTTCAACCCCTACTCCATACTCTTAGACCCTGTCTCAAAAGATGACTTATCACGTAAAGTTGGCAACTTTTCGTGCATGCATGTATTAATGGGGCTCTAAAGCTCAAAAGAGCTTAATAAATGGTCTTAACACATGCATGAGTCCATATACACCATAAAGTTTGCATTTTTATGCATAAGGGACCCCTAAAATATCCAGATCTAAAGGATTAAGCTTCTGAAATGACCTTATCTCACAAGGACCAACCAAAAGGGACCAAATTAGCCATAAACAAACCCAAGAGTAGATCTATGCAAAGAGTTGACAAGTTATGGACTTTATACCTCAAAAGTCACGAAATGAAGAAGCTAAGTCTGGATCTTTAAGCTCTTCTCCAAGGAATGAGTCTTCAATCTTCTTCTACCACTTCAATATGCACGAGAACACACCAAAATGCTTCACAGGATCTCAAAAGCACCTAAACAAAGGATAAGGGCGAGGTTAGGGCTTTCAAGATATGGATGTTGGTCTAAAATGGCCAGGAGGTGAGTTTAAGATGCTTAAATAGGGCACCAACCCTAAAAATTAGGCTTTGTCCCAAGCCAGCGTAACCCCACGTACGCCCAAAGTACGTGGGCGATGCCCGCGATCAAGATCTAGCTAGTACGCTAAACATACTCATAGAGTACGCCCCGCGTACTAGCCAGAGGGCTAATAATGAAATTACTTGTTTATCAAGGGTTAAAAGGAAACTTACAAGGTCTGAATGTTACATTTGGCTTCTAAAGAGAAAGGTTGAATTGGTATTGGCAGTCTAGATCCTTTTAACTCTGCTTTATTTCAAAAGTGGAGATGGAGATTTGTCTTTAATCAAGAGGCTCTTTTGGTGAAAGTGATTTCAGATATTCATGGGTTTGATGACATTGGATGTACGTTTTTTCCCTAATATTCGAGGAAATTATGTTTGGGGTAGGATCGTTGGGTATATTAATACAATGCATGGAAGGGGGATTATTCTTCATTATTTTATTAAAAAAAGGTAAAATATGGTAGTGCTACGAAGTTTTGGAGAGATGTATGGGTAGGCGCCATTCCATTATCTTTTCAAATCCCTAGCCTGTTCTAGCTTGAATTACAGAAAGACCGCTTGGTTAGTACAAGATGGAATGCAGATGGATCATGGGTTCGGCGTACAGATATCCGTGGGGGTGTAGAACAAAGTCAGTTTGAAGACCTTATGTCAATCTTGCATGATGTTCGTCTTTCTTCCGGTAGAGATTAGTGGATTTGAAATTTAGAAGGATCATCTTCTTTCATGGTTAAATATTTGCGTCATTTAATTGATAATTTTTCCCTTTCAAATGGTGGATCTGTGACCAAATGGAACAATTATGTTCCTAGAAAAGTCAATATTCTATGTTGGCGAGTTTTGTGGGATAGAATTCCAACCAGGTGGAATTTGAGTCGTAAAGGAGTAGAGTTAATTTCTTTGATGTGTCCTTTTTGTTTGAAAATCCCAAAAAAATTGGACCATTTTTTTTGGTATTGTGAAGTTTCTAGGTCAATTTGGGAGAAAGTGTTTAGTTGGGTTGATTTGTTTCCTCCTGATTTTCCTGCATTGCGTGAGGTTTTTACTTGGATTGATAACCTTCATTTTCCGATGATTAAGAAGAAGATGCTTGATGCTATTGTTTGTGTCACGATCTGGGTTTATAGCGATTTCGAAACTTGTTTTTCAGTGATGAAGCAAGTCGAAAAGAGTTTATTTTTTATGACATACTTGAGTTTTCATTTTTTTGGTTTGCATAGAGGAACAAAAGGGTCAAGGTTGCTTGGTCTAACTGACTAAATAATTTTTTTTGTTATTTTTTTGTAATTTTTCCTTTTCCCTAGCTTCTTGTTGGTTTTATATGTCGTTCTAAAAAAACAAACCGGAAATTAATCTCATTGATCTAATCGAACACAATAGTTTTGCACCTTACTTCAACTACTATTCGTGGAACTGGTCACAAAATAGCATTAAGCCAATTTGTCACCTTTTGCTCTTTTTTAACCCATTAAAACTATATAATTAACTTAGATGTAAGTTCCGTTGAGACAGTGACGGAGCTTGAAGTTATGATTGGGGGGCCGAAAATAAAATACGTATAAAAATTGAAGAATAGGGGGACCAAAGTCAAATTTTATAGTTTTGGACATAATATGTAACCTTTTCAATACTTATGGACTATATATAAAAAGAAATTAAGGGGGCCACATCCCCCCGGCCCTATATATGCTCCGTCCAATGCGTTGAGATTCAATATAAAATAGTAATCTTGATATTCAACCTCAGCCACATAAGTCAATTCTGCCGCTCTAACCTTCCGACGTACCAGCAGGCGGGTTAGTTATAATCATAAATGATTATGTAGCGCCGTCCGTTCTTTTCACCTCCGCCGTCTTCCCCACCACCACAACCGCCATCGCTACCACCGCTACCACCACCTCTGCCATTATCTGGCCCCACCACTGCCAACTCCGTCACTTATACCACCGCCACCGCCAACTCTATCACTTATACCACCGCCACTGATACCTCTTCTGCTACCAATCGTTATAATCATATATGATTACTCTGTGAATAGACACATATGTATAATCATATATGATTATACCTTTCTGCCATATAATTAGTTACTCCTTGGTATAGTCGGATGGTTTCCAAAATACAACTATTTAATAAGAAACACATATAATGTTAAAAAAAATGTCATAATAAACCGAAAGATAAAGTTATATTGGTATTTCCTTCACTTAAGTTAAATAAACCCGATAGCATCATTTGATAACTTCGTATCATGTTTTCATAATTAAACTGCCTCAATAAAACATTATCAACCTCCATAGCGATATAACTAATTTATAACACCAAAATCAAACCACAAGAATCACAAAATTATAACCCTAAATTCAATAACAAAACATTTGTCTACATGATCTTTGTTAGATTTTTTAATCAAGTGCAAAACATAATTAACTTAAGAATCTAAAATATTCACATACTCCTCAGCTTCTGTTGTTTCTAGGTCCATACTCTTTAATGGCCAAATCAAATGTCGTTAAAATTTGTGGCATTGACATGCCACCAGATACCACAATTTCTGTACAAACAAAAAACATCCCAAAATAAATTACTGTTTTTTTTTTTTTTTCAGTGTTGTCTGGATAAATGATGTTTAAAAAGTATCTGAGAAAATAACGACACACTTGGGGAAAATGAAAGAAAAAAATAAATAAAGACAAATTTCTTAAAAGTTAGGACTTAATAGGAAAAGCCTTATTTCACTGACTTTCCTTATTAAGTCATTCTTTCTGTATTAAGTAAAAAAGGAACACATATGTGTACCTTACCAGATCATGTCCCCATTAAGTTAACTTAATGGGGATATGTTTTGATCTGGTAAGCTATATATATGTGTGTTTCTTTTTTATTTAATACAGAAAGAATGACTTAATAAGGAAAGTCAGTGAAACAATGCTTTTTCTATTAAGTCCTAACTTTTAAGAAATTTGTCTTTATTTATTTTTTCCTTTCATTTTCCCCAAATGTGTCGTTATTTTCTCAAATACTTTTTAAACATCATTTACAAAATTAACAAAATAACGAAACGATAACTAACCAATTCCTTCACGAACAGATAAGTTTGGTCTAATAACATCTTTTGATTTCACCAAAAATATATCACCAATGTAAAGATGATTTGTTGGGACATACACCGAAAACAACTCTTCATCCCCCGAATAACTCTATTTTGCAACAAAAAATGTATATATATACATTAACAAATAAATCAATAATTATACAAATATGTACCAATTTTCAAAACATAAAAATACACACCTGGAGAATGAAGGATGAAGTAATGAACCCAAATGCATATTCACCAACACGAGGATGCCTCATAATCACAACTTCCTTAAAAGCTCGTGTATTTTGATCTGCATTTTTAGATTAAAAATTGATTTTCGTTAACCATAGATTATCACAAATAATGTTTATAGAAGTTAGGGTGGGGCCCACGAACCTGGAGATATTGCAGCACTAATTTGCTTAGAGGCATCATAAATATGGCGAACAAATGGCATTCTTTTGATAAACCATTCACCAAGGCTTAAGACAGATGCACCCAACCATGATGACATAAAGATCCCCACCACAAATATGAATGTCACCGAAGTTATAAACCCAAGACCTAAATAAAATTATTTGTACAATTTGATTAATTAGGATCAAAATGATCAATATCATGAAACTTTAACATTGAAATTTGGTGTAAATGAATAGCATACATAACATGTATGCTTACCAAATATATTTATGCCAAGTTGAGCATAGATAGGAGAGAAGAAACCATCCACAAAATGTATAAACCACCATGTTATGTAGAAAGTAATAGCTAATGGTAATAGGATCACACTGCAACAAAAAGAAAATGTGATCATATATTCAAATCTAATCTATGGTTGTAGGTTATTATGATGATAATGAGAAGGGCATTCACGTCTTTTTCACCGTTGAGATATCGAGAAAGTGTTCATGTCATGTCATGTCATATATAAGTAAAAGGATTAGAAATGAGAATTCTGCATACCATCCAGTCATGAATTTTTTAGATGCCCAGCTTTGAAGAACTTTGGAGAAAGTCTACATGAAAAATGTAATGTATGAGGTAAGGTGAATGTAGAAGAGACACCAATAGGACATAAACATAAAATCAATTGTACATTTTGAAAATCTTGGAGCATCAACTGGGATTATTACTAAAAATTGACGATATGAACGAACAATTGGTTCTTAATTTGGACCAAATAACCAAAATAAGACTTGCAATTGAGTTGTTTTTAAGAGACGTGTGACAATGAATGTCAATTCGTAGTGAAGATCCGAATTTTCAATTCAATTCGGCAATGGAACGAAGCACAATTCAGGATTTTCCTTCATTCTCATAAACCCTCCTAAAAAACTCTTAATCAAGACCTAATTTTTCGTTTCAGTAACCAAATCAAAGCAATTACTAAACCTAAAAGCATATACATTAAAAGGTGTTTCGTCTAAAAGTAAAAAACCCTGATCAATACTCAATTAGGATCAATAACCAACCAAACCAAAATGAAGCAATCAAATTTAACAAAATTACATTCGAAAATGCAAAAGGGTATGAAGGAAAACCTCACGGCCGGCGTGATGAGAGAAGGGAGTTGCAGAGGACGGGGGTTTTGGAGATACTTGTTGGTCATCAGGGGTGTTGGCGATGGGTAGAAGCAGCTCTCGATCTCTGTCTCTGATGACGGGTGATATTTGATCACCCATTTTTCTGCAAAATTTCCGAGATATCCTAATAATCTTGAACTTAGAAGAACGAATTTTGTATCGAGAATCGTTGAGAAACGTCTTCTGGGCTAAATAAATTTGGAGTTGCGTGTCGAGAGTTTGAGAACTTTCTGTTAAACCCTGAATATATAAATATATACTTTGAGCACTACGTTAACGCTCCTTTCAATATCAACTTTAATGTTTGGTCCTTCATCAAAAAATTTATCTCCTTTTTATCCAAAAACTATGCCTACAGAGTTTATAAATATGTGATTCAAAGAAATCTCAAATTTTATATGATTTACGATTAAATAAAATACCAAATGGTTGTTTGATAGTTATTTATTGAGTTAGGTTTAATTGAGTCAATATATGATTAAGTTAATGTATGATTGAGTCACGCACAACTATAAATTAAGAGACATATCAAAGAATCAATGACTAAGTTAGAGGCTTTTTAAGTGTGATATTAAACTAGAGATGAGTTTTTTAATCGAAAAACCGAACCGAACTGGAACTGGTTGGAACCAAATAGTGGTATTTGGTCCGGTTTTTAGTTTTTAGTTTAAGGCTTATTCGGTTTTTAATGTTTTTTTGTTCCGGTTCCGAACACCTTCTTAGATAGCACATTTCTTAATAGAACCGAACTGAACTGATTTGAACCGAATAGTGGTATTCGGTCCGTTTTTTAGTTCTTATTTGGAGGATTATTTGGTTTTCGGTTTTTCGGTTTCAGTCCGATACCAGACTGATTTATATACCTATATTAAATAGTTTGGATCTGACCGAGTCGACTTAGCCTATTACTAGACCCAATAAGAGGCATATCAAACAAGCCCTTGTCCTATAATATAACACATTAATTCATATCGGGGCACCAAATGATGTTGGCCTTGCTAGTAGGCCAAAACATCATAATACATTATTGTCACGTACTTAAGTTCAAAACCATTCCATACCCGTGCGGTGAGGTTCCCCGTAAAACCCCGAGGCCAACCTTCCTACATACACATCTCAACTAGTTTAACTGAATAATTGTGTCTACCCCTATAGCTATTAATCCCATTCACAGTCAAGCCCTCTTGCGATTATGACTCGGCTTGATGGAAACAACTAGACTAACAATGCCATATATGCATATGCATCTCGCTTTGATCTCAACGAAAAGCTAAAAAGTAGCATGGTCTTCCTCTATAGGTTTCCACGATCACACCATATATGGGTCGTGACATTCTCCTACTGCTAAAATGCAACATTTCCTTGTGTCATATAACAAGAACTTATGCAAAGTCAAGTTTATCAACATATTATATAGCCATACACAAAAACCCACTATGGCCACCTCATATGATCTCTGGCCTATTAGGATGGAGCTTCTACTTCTTTGCCCCTCGAGTGTGGAGCTCTCTTGATGTCACCCCCTCGAGTTAGAAGCAACTTGTCCCTTCTCTTGAACTTCACAAAGTGAGTACCATATAGTATGGTTTTCTGTAGTCCCACACTTAGGATCTTCCCAGAATCCCATTTAACTACACATCCATGAACCACAATCCTATATCACAACCCATTGGGTCAGATTCCTTGGCATATGGACACCTATAATATTTCCAAAAATATGGAGTAAGTTGCCTATACTTTTGGGCGCTTCACCCTTTTGTCTGCCTCTACGGACCTATGAAAGTGTGTAACATTGGTATTGTCTTACGTCATCTTTCTATGATACCAATTGTCACATACTTAAGTTCATAACCATTCCTTACTCCTACATCGTCCCAATTTTCCTCGTAAAACCTCAAGACTAGTCTTCCCACATATATGTGTTATATATAATATTCACATAGTGTACACATATAATTTTTCAGTTAAAAGAGAATTTAGTTAAGGTAAATATAATAGGGACATGTATTATTAGGTAATGAACAAATTACTGAAATCGTCCCTATGGTTTGGTTAAAACTACTAGTTTGGTCCCTAAGTTTTTTTTTTGCACTCGGACCGTCCCTAGGTTATGATTTTATTGCGTTTTTCGTCCTTTATAGAAATAAAAAGACTATATTGCCCTTTGTATTTTCTTTATTAATTTTCTCGTTTGTCATTTATAAATTATAAAAAAACTAATTAAACAATTTATAGATATGTAGGACCTAGTCTCCTCTCACTCCCACCATTATGAATGCCACTCGACACCACCAGTAGTCACCGGAGACCACCAACAACCACCGGGACTCATATCTAGAAAAATCGAATCCACCACCGACGACCTCTAGAAACCTGACCGCCACCACCACATGTGTCAATCTAACCACCGTTATTGACATCGAAAACCAATATCGAACACCGCCAACAGATCTAGATTTGGTTCTACTTCCGGTTAGCATCTGCCACCGTCACTGTTGTTGCGGCGGAGAAAAGAACAGGGGGTTTCAGATTTGGATCTGGTACTCCCCACCAGTTTGGATCCCTCACCAGTCACCACCATTGTTGTTCTGGTCCAAAGAACAAGCAGATCAGAAGCATTTCATGGAAATGGTGGAGATGGCGTAGATCTGCCTGAAGGAAATGTTTCTTGAAGTCAGAAGGTGAAGAAGACGTGGTAGATGGAAGAAGATGAGTTACAGAGGTCTAGGGCTGAAGACGGAAGGATATCTCGTTAATCAGCCCGTTTTCGTCTCGTCGCCCCCATCTCTTCTCGTCGCCCTCATCTGATCCATTGAGAGGTCTGACCATCGATTGCATTTGCTCCCTCCTCGCTCCTCCCTCTGCACCATCGTTCCTCTCGTTTCCCTACGCCGGTGGGTGAGGGTGGGAATGATGGTGATGATCGGAAAGAAGAGGTGGTCGGAGATGGTGTCCGGCGATTGGAGGTCGTCGGCAATGGTTGTCGGTGATGAAAGAAGTGGGTGGGGGCAAAAATATGGTGGGGTTAACTGGTTATGGTGCTGGGGGGGGGGGGGGTTGTAAAGTGGGCCTAATTATTGTTTTTATTATTAATAAATATACAATCAATAATAATAATAGTAAGGGAAAATACATTAGAAAGGGCAAAAGAGTCTTTTCACCTTGGTCAGGGACGAAGAACGCAACAAACTAAAATGGTAGGGATCGTCCGAGTGCAAAAAAAAAGTTAGGGACAAACACGTAATTTTCGTAAAACCACAGGGACGATTTCAGTAATTTGTTCTTAGGTAATTAACTCACCTCAGTTATTATGGATACCAAATTTCACTTCTAGAGTTGTTTGGATGTCTAAATGGTCACCTAAAAATCATCACTAATTAAGTAATTAGTTGTTAGTTACCTTATAATTCTCCAAGTTAAATTATATATACTTTAACATCACATTGTATACCTTACATATCATGCATAAGTTTATGGAAAGGTTATGGAATAAACTAGGACTATATTCGACCGAGTGGATTGACCTAATAACACAAAACGAGTTTAAACCTCCAATAAGCTTTCGCAACTTGTATACTTTGATCCCAAGACTGCTAATTCCAACTCTAATGACTTAGGATGCTTAATTAGAGTTTAATGCTTTGTTCCAACACTAACTTAAAAATATGATTAAATTCAAGAACATCCCTAATTTATCAAATAAATAATGGTCTTTACTATCTCCCAGTTAAAACTTTAAAACTTAAGGTATGACCACTAAATTGGAATCTATCCGATTATTTGAACTTATAACACTATAATCTAATTCAAAATCATTAGACAATATTAAATTCATAGTCAAAATTTAAATTGTCAAGGATGATCCACCAATGTTAGAGTTCATAAACTTCATCAAAGTTTCATAACATAAAATCTGACCATCATGGTGATTTTAACACATGAATTGGACTTGGAATCATTAAAATTAAATCTAAAAACACTCACAAGCCTAATCATACTTCAAAATTGTTTCATTTAATAATGGATGAATTCATAAATCCATGTGTAACATCCTCATTTCGTGATTAAGTTTAAAATTTATTAAAATAATTAAATTAAATAATAAATATATAATTATGTAAATAAAAAGAAAGTAATGAAAATATTTTTAAGTTCTCAATTAGAAAATAAAGTTTTATGATTTTATATGGCAAAATATCTAAAAGTGGGGTAATTTTGATAATTTAGGAAAACCCTTGTATGTTGATCAAGGCTTAACTTGAATAAATATTATGGACCATATTTGTTACAATTATTGTTGTAAGGGGTTAAATTTATAAAATCAAATTAAGGCTAGTTGTTAAAGTCCATTGGTGGTAAAAGTGATAAAATATAGAGTTGAGGGGTAATAGTTAACAATTGCATAAGTTAAGAAACTATCTTCTCCCCAACCTATATGATTCAAATCTAATCTAGAGATTGAAAAATACCTATGGAGATTTGGAGCTTTTGAGAAGGTTTTGGAGTGGAAATCAAAGTCTTTGTGTTAAAATTGAGCTAGGAGAATTGAAAAGATACAATTAAACCTTATCTTTTTCCTAAATTCAAGTTAGGGTTAGGAGAAATCTTCCAACCCAAAATTTAAGCATGTTAAAGATGTTTGATTGAGGTTTTGAATTATTTTGATCATTATATTGCTAGTCTTCTTCATTTCTTAGCATTTCAAACTTGATTTAAGTATAAATGAATTTTTGAAGCTTCAAAACACTAACAACGATGGAAATTTCAATACAAGTTTATTCTCATAAAGTTAATGTTGTTTCTAGGTTTACTTTGATGTTTATAAGAATTATTTAAGCTAATGAATCCACAATTTGTTAATAGTTATGCTAATTGATCTAATGGAGATTTTCAAGTTGACATTTGGCTTCAATGGAGTGTGTCAAGCTCATTTTCATTGTTTAATCTAGTCATTTGACCATTAGAACTCATTGGAATGTTTTAATCTTAAGTGATTCAGTCAAACTGAAACATGATTTTTGATGATTTGTAATTAATAGTGGTTTTGTGTTATATTGGAACACATGGAACTTCATTTGAGTGTTTACAATTTTTGCATGTTATTGATTTAATGGATCATCACTTTTGTCCATTTATCTTTGTATAATTATGTTTTAAAAGGTTAAAATCAATTTAGGGTATCATTTAACTCTATTAAGAAAGTTGGAATCAATGTAGATGAATTTAT